GATGTAGTTTTTTACATGTCTTTTTGGGGATTGCATGTTGTATTGTTTTTGATGTACCTGATACAACAGGAGTTTGTTAGCTGTGCAGTAAGATGCACAGACCACTCTATTTTCAGTCATCTTGATAAAAAAGACTGTTACACTTTTTTTTCTGTTTTCAACAGGTAAAGGACCTTTAAAAGAATACTACAACGGACTGATAAATAAACTGCACTTTAAACATATCCAGATCTGTACACCCTGGCTTGAAGCTGAGGATTACCCTCTTTTGCTTGGTAAATAGTGGGTTATGAAATACGCTTGGGAATGTGTGAAAAACACTTGGCAGATTTGCAAAGAGCTGCTGCAGATTTTGCATGGAAGCTGGTAGAATATAGTAAGCGGAAGAAGTTGCTGGTTAGTGATGATCTACATGTGTAGTAGTCGTGATTTTCACTCACGCCAGCAAAATTGCTGAACTTCTGAAACGACAGTTTTTCACTGTTATCCCAAGAAGTATGCATAGTGCCTGTGTTGCTATTTCAGCCTGTTCTTTGTACTCTTCATTTCTTCTAACTAAGCTGAAATACAGTGTGCCTGTGCATGTCCCAGTTTACTTTCAGGGTCATTTCAGAAACTGAAATTGTGAAGTTTTTGGCTGAGCAACCAGAATTAGCTGAAATTCTAAATTAACATGTCCTTGCAGTAGTATTCCCTCAGCATGTTCATTGTATTAGCATAAAGGGTGAGTAAGCTTAATAAAGTAGTAAAATAAATATTCAACGTGATCTGCATTCTGCAGTTAGAGCCTGCCAACTTATATGGCTGTAAAACAACGGTGTTTATTTGGTAATTTTTAACTAATGAATCTGATGTCTATAAATCACACTGTAATTTCTGTTTTGAAATCACTTGAATGGGAAGAGGTCACTCATGAACCATGCAGTGTCTCCTGTCTGGGTTGTGATGGAGTTTTCCTGTGCACTTCCCCGTTCTTAGCAGATTAAGAGGCAGAAAGGCTGTTTTAAGATACGTGAAATGTTAAAATTCCCTTTAATATGCACTCACCTGGTAATGTTTCGAAAGCTTGACTAATTATAGTCACAAATACATTACACTTGAAATGGAGTCAGTCTGGATGCTGTTGAAAATAGCTGGGTTTTAGCTTGCATCACCCCAAGAAGTATGTAAGTAGAAAGGTTTACAGTCAGACTAGAAGAGCTGCTTTCAAAGAGTTCAGACCCTTCTCTGTTTTGTTTGCTTTTCAGGCTCAGCAGATCTGGGAGTGTGTCTCCATAAATCATCCAGTGGTTTGGATTTGCCTATGAAGGTGGTGGATATGTTCGGCTGCTGTTTACCTGTGTGTGCAATATATTTTGAATGGTAAGAGCTTGCTTGTTCTGATACAGTTTAAGTGGATCAAATAAAACAGTAGTCTTACAAAGCAAGAGTTCAGCAGCTTCTGCATGTAGCAAATGAGATTCCAGTATGTTGCCATTGTAACTTTTTTTTTAATTCAATAAGATAAATTAGAAATCAAGGTTGTTTTATTTAGGGTCAGTTAAAAAATTAACACTAGTTTCTACAAAGTTGGGAGCATTTAACACAACCAATTGCCTTAAAAACCTACCCTGAAGTCCTTTGTTTCCATATATCTCATGTAAAAAAGCTTCCTTCTGCGTAGAAGTGTCTGTTCTGTGAAGGGATGAGTGTATGCATAGTCAGCCTTACAATTTGCAGTCCTTTGGGAAAACGGTAGCTTTTATAAAGATACATTCTTTGTGAAGATCTCATGAACTGGATCATGGACAGGTTTTCCTTGTAGGTTAATTTTAAAGTAGATTATTGCCTTGATTTTTAATGTATGTCGAGATGAATGGCCCAAAGACAGAGTGAGGGCCCTTTTGTGCTGTGATAGTGGATTTGGATAGTCTGACATAGAAGGGAGAAACAATCTTTAAATTTAAACCTTTAAAACTCCCTTCTTCGTTCCATTTTGTCAGGAAGGAAGCTCATTGTATCTGGACACCCAAGATCATAATGTTACAGATACCCTAGCACAGTCCCTTCGGACGTCACTGTGCAACTTTTTAAATGTATGTGTCCCACTTGCTGTTTTTTGTCTCAAGTTTTCTTCTATGACTTTTGTTCACAGTTTACATGAACTTGTGAAACACAATGAAAACGGTCTGATATTCAGGGACTCCAGTGAACTTGCAGAACAACTAAAGGTAGAGGCTTGACTGATTTCTTTTTTTTTTTTCTATAACTGCAGAGGCGCTACCACATGAGCCACCGTTTCATATCTGACTGTCATCTGTGTACTTTGCATTCTCTGAAGATATTGCTTTGCCTGGTGAATGTTATTGGCCTCACTTCTGTTTGAATATGAATCAGAAGCTGGCAAGAACATTTTAAATATTGTCACCATACACTGTTTGTAGTGCCAGACCAAAGAGTGCTCTCCTACTGCAGCATTGTAGTTGAGGGTTAACGTTGGGGAGGCTAGAATGAGCCTAGAATGTAATATGATGGTATTTTCCTGTGGTTTTCCTTTTTTAACTTACAGATGCTTTTCTTGGGATTTCCTACACTGGAAGGCAAACTTCACAACTTCAGAAGAAACCTCCGTGCGTCCAACAAGCTGCGCTGGGATGAGAGTTGGGACCAGACTGTTCTTCCTTTGCTTGGGCAAAATGAATGAATGACTTTGTGGAGGAGGAGAGTGTCAAAAAAGCTAATCCGTTCCGGGAGGTGCATAGATTTGATAAACAGAGAATAAACACTTTGTATTGCCTGTAGTTGCAGTTTTTAACTACTTCATCTTGGGATAACACCTCTTCCTTTACAATTTGAGCTTCTCACGTGAGTAGTAATAGTGCTGAAGGTGCAGCTGGGGCTATTTGTTGTGTGCCAAAGGTGTAAGTCTTGAGGGAAGACACGGTTCCTGTGCTGAAGAGCTTGAGCCTGGCCCTCTGGACTGTCTTTCCTTCCTCACCACTTGGGATGCAGCTTTAGAAACTGGGAGGGAGGTTTAGTTACTCTAGGAACTCTTACGTGCAAAATCTGTTACTTGTTCTGCTTAAAAGCCACTTTTTGGTGAAGAAACAAATACAGATATAAACTGTTACTAGCCCTTCAGAAGGTGATTTTGGTGTTTTCCTTGCAAATGGTGATGCTTTTTATTTGAATCGTTTTATTTGAGGATAGAGAGGGGTTTTATTTTTTCAACCAGTTGATATTCTTGGCTAGTCTTCCCTAGACAAGCACTGAATATCCTCTTGTATGATTCTACTGAGACAGAACCACTTAGTTTCAAAGTTGTTTTCCTTTTTACAGCGTGTGCAAGAATATGAGAGCACAGCCACTGGTATGTGACAGCTTTATTGAACAGATAGAGGAAAACAGACCTTTCAGTGAGTGTTGTCCTTTTTTACTGAAGTGAATGTGCACATTTACCTTGAGAAAGAACATAAAATTTATCCCTTTTTGAACAGATGAATAGAAAAGGAAAAAAAAAACAAACCAGGTTATTAAAGTATGTGTAACTTAATGAAAGGGCACTTCACTTTCTGAGTGCTCACTCAGGTATACCCTGCATTATTTTTTTTTTATTGTTAATATCAGTATTCATCTGCAGACCTAATGCTTATGAGATGCTTTTTTCCTCACTATGTAGATTCTTTATAAAACAGATGTCAGCCATTTAAGGAATAAATAAGCCTGTTTTTATCGTGTGGTTGCTGCATTGAGCCTCTTTAGAGTTCCAGATTGAGTGGTGGTTTCTGTACCAGCAGGGGCTGGCAGTGTCGGCTGAAGAATGATCTATGAAGATCTATTTGCTGATTTTTTTATTTTTTTTTTCTGTTTTCAAGCAGAATTCTGTCTGATGGCATGGTCGTTCCCCTTTAGCCATTGACAGGCCCATGGAGGTAAATTAGGCCCTTCTCTAATTAAACAGTAATGACGAAAGCTTTCGAGAGGCTTCATCTTCCTGTAAGAAATTTTTTTAGATCCAAAATTCTAAAACAAAGCGTAGTGTCATTACTTCTGTGTATCCAACTACCTACTAGCAGGCATGGCTGCCTTCAGCTGGAAGAGTAAGATGATTCTTCACATGTCACGTTACCATCATACCATTACAGAAGGAGGAGGCTATAGTATTTGTTCATTTTCTTTTGAGTAGCTTTTAAAACAGGTACAGAAAAGGAAGTCAAAGGAGGAGAAAGAGCAGCATGTTTGATTTGCTGCTTCAGGACCAATACTGTCCAACAGGAAGATTATTATGGAAAGTTTCAAAGAAGGTGAGCTAAATTCTTCCTCCTTGCAGTATACGTAGAACGTTGCTACAGAATACGACTCTTTTTGTATTTTCTGGCCAGTCTGAGAGGATGTCTTCCTAAGAGCTAGCTGTGAAAGCAACAGTCCTTGCGTGAGAGAAATGTAAATCAAATTCTGATTGCTGCCATCACTGCAGAATAAGGATGCACCTGATTTACAGCAGAGCCTATTCCCTCCTCTCACAGCATCATGTAAGCTTGTGACACTTATCTACTATTTCACTGTTGGTATTATTAATTTTTAAGATGACAAGTCTGAAAAACAGAGTAGACAACAACTGCGGATGGTTTTAATGTTAAAAAAATATTTATTACTATGAAACCTTGTTTTGCTCCCTTGGCAGTGTGAGATACTGCAGATGTGCCTCCATTATTTACAAATCAAAACACAGTTGAAAAAAAAATATAGTTCAATTCCGTTGTCTTCTACAGCATCACAGTGCAGTACAATTGGGGCTTTTTTGCTCCTGCTTGAGGTTCACTGACACTTTTTGGGGGCAGCAGCTTGCTTGCATACATGCTGACAGTTACAGGAAGAAACGTAACTCAGACAGGAGCCGTGCGGAGAGTTGTGTCCTCGGTGCCTCTCACGTAGGTTTCCAGAATTCACTATAATCTTGTTGCAAAGACGAGATAGCTGCTGTTGGTCTGAAAATTCTAATTTTGTCACATTTTCCAAGTCTATATAAATAGCTGTAGAATAGTTACATTTGGCTGCTCGTCATAGAGGAAAATCCTGGTGCTGTGGGCTGGAATAATCCGCCATCCGATCCCAGCTTTATCTGTAGAGAGAAACACTGGGAATCATAATTCTGCTTAGTAAAATGAAAAGCAAAAGTTGCACGTCAAGTTCTGTAAGAAGAGATCTTTAGCATGCTGTTAAATCCTGATGAGTATGTATTTTTAAAATTAATTTTAAAATTAGGTGTTTTTTAACCCTCAGAGAACAGTTAAAGATTTTAGGCTGCATCTCAAATGTCCTCACTGTGACAGTGTAGCCCAGATGGTTTTCCTCCTTTTAAGTTTAACCCTTTTTTAGTTTCCTATTGCCACCATGCTTGTAATTAATCTCAAGCTGGCACTAACAAATGTGTGTTGGGATAGACAGAATGTAGCCAAAAGCTAAATTCCAATCTCCTGATGAAATCCATGTGGGAAAGTCACTGCTCTTGGGCAGACCGTTCTCAAATCCAGCCAGAGGATAAGAATCTCGCTATCGGACAATGCCCATCACCAAAAAATCCTCCTGATCATCTCTCCTGCAGACGAAGCAATGGGGAAAGAGGCCAGAACTCTTGATACACTTCCTGAAAAAGGCACCCACCGAGTTCAGCCTGGAAGAGGTGATACGTGTCTGGGTTACGAATGGTGGAAGCAATGTAGACCTCGGGAGGTTTTGTATCGGCCCGGCAAGTGGAGAGTTTTTGCAGCACACCAATAAGGGCTAAAGCGATCTCTGGATCGTACACCACATCTGCACAAAAAGGAAAACATTCAATATTTATTGAGAACTGAGCAAAAAGCAGAAGGAAAACTACAAACCAAAAATATAAAAATATTTACCTTGCAGGAGAGTATGATTTTCATATTCAAGGGTTAAACATTCCCAAGATGAGATCTTGGAAAATACTTCAATTTTATGTGCTATGTCAAGTCACCCTCATCTCTAATATCATCCCAAAATCACTAAAAATCAGTGCTCCTCTGTAAATGGATGGTCAGACACTGTGTTTAAGCACAGCTTAAGGGAGACAATAAAGACGTTGAGCATTGGTACTGTCCGTTACAACCGGAATGAAACTGCATTGTTAAAAATCGGTATTTCAGAGCCTGATTGTGAAAGACGATTTGAACCACAGCAGTTTTCATCTTTAGGGATTTCTACTTTAAACTCAATAATTTCCTTGAGAGCAGAAACAGTGATGAAAGATAAGACTGATCACGGAGGGGTAGAAAGTGTCAGTCTGGTGTTCAGGACAGATAAGAGGTGGTTGTTCGCTACCCAGAAAAGTTGAGGCACAGACATGTGCTCGTGACGTGTCCCAGTTACTCCTGAAGCAATGTGATAAGTGTATCTCCTGCAGTAACTATTAACAGCAACTAATAGATATAAAAAAAATCACCTTCCATTTTTAATTGCCTCTCCATCCCAAGTTCTGCTTGGGTTCTTTTGTGCTTTCCCTAAACAGCATCGCTGGCATGAGGTAACATACATACAATGACTTCATTTTACAGAACTCGCGGGTGATAGCTTTGCTGACCAAGGCAGTGTATTTTATCAATTTTTCACCCAAGTTCTTAGGTAATTTTTGCTTTGCAAAGCCTCAAATCAGGGAGTAAAATCCTGTAAGAAATTTCATTATTGCTAGATTTTCTATTATTAGATTTTTTTATAAACTCCCTTGAGATTTATACATAGGCAAGGTAAAAAAAAAAGTTTGTTTTTTTTTTTAATATGTGTTACCCCTCAAGAGAATGCCAAGATTGCCTGTTGTTATTGGTGAGGCTCTTAAGTGGCAGATTTCTCATCTTCCGTTTCTGGATTTAAAAAAAATGCAGAAGAGAAAAATAATTTGCTTTTTGGTGTTATGTACCCAACTGTTAATACCTGAAAAAGAGAGAATAGCGAAATGAGCGGGGAGATCGGTCATACGCTTCCAGACACGGTAACTGAAGCGGGGCTGAGTGACTCCAGCGCACAAACACCTTCGCGCTTCTCTCTCTAACCTGCTTATTCCTGGCCGATGGCACAGAGGTGTAATCAGGAATGTGAAGTACCTGCTGCAACGACGATGTCCGGTTGAAGATCCAACAGTTCTTTTTCTGTAACTGAGCCCCAGTCGAGCTCTGCAACAATTAGTTTTGGGTTTTGATAATTTTTTGCTTCTGCCTCGGGGTCTTGGGACTCCGTTCGGGTGTGATGAGGAGTTTCAGGCTCCAGGACAAAGCCGTTCAAACGGATGTTTTCTGCTAGCTGTTGGAGAACACAGGGGTGGCAGTCACTAAATATATACACCTTGGGACTGCAGGTTTTACAGACTGCGATGCCAGTGAAGCCGATCCCGCTTCCTAATTCCAAGACTGTCCTGAAGGGGAATGGAGTAAAATGAGTGCTGATTAGGACTCCAAACTGAGTTAGGAAATCAAACCCAAGTATATCTAACAGATTATTTCAATAATTTTTGAGTAAACCATCTGCAATCTGGTAAGTGTTTCAGATAACTGTGAGAGTTGTTGGTAAACACTGTTGTAAGCATAAAAAATACTGGAAATACTGCTCTGGCATATGGTACAAAGCATTTCCACCAGAGAGGCGAGGTACATAGACTTCTGCAGCATGGTTGTCTCCATCTAGACTGGTTGTCTGGTTGTTTTCATGATCAGTGGAGAGAAACAGACCCTTCAGCAGCACAGCTCCTGTCCTTGTGAGGTTGATATTTAAAATGAACTTAGCTGAATCTTTCCTCGAAAGTGCTTCTTCCTCTCACCTGCTCATAAGCAAAGTCTAGACTATGAAAATACCTGCATGCTGATCGTCTCAACTTGGGAGAGATGAATCCCATCAGAGAGTGGAGTGCACTTGTTAAAGTTCCTGGCTAGACCGCGCAGCAGCTGATGTTTAACAGTTTGATCTTAAAACCTGTCTTAAAATAACTACGAGGTCCTCTCCTGTGTTAAAGTTTGGTGCAGAACAGATGAGAGCCAGTAGCAAAAGGCTGTAGCCATTTCAGTTATTTGGCAGGTAGATATTATATGTTAATAAATTCCAGTTGCAGAGCTTGCTCACGGTACAAACAAAAGTACCTTGGCTTCTTTCCCCATCTTTCCGTCTGCGCTGCTGCCGTTACCTGTTACTGAAAACTGTCGCGTTCTCTGCCGCCCATTCGGCGAGGTGAAGAGCAGCATCCCACGTGACGAGCCCCGTGGTTCCTCCAGAGATGATTGCCATGCTCTCGGAAAGGGTAACAGCTTCTCCTGTGGGCTGGAGGACACACACACACCATGGATTTTACAGCTTACAGTCAGTATTGGCACCTGGAAAAAGGCAGGAAGCACTCCGGGTTTCTGGGGAATTACTTTTAAAGCCAATAGTTGGGATGATTAAAAATTGGTTTATAATGATGCAAAATGAGTTCTTACCAGTAAGTAGTTTTTGTAGCAGTGAGTAGATTCTTCTTCATTTAAAATGTCTGCCAGCGCATCGTACAGCTCATCCAGGGGCTCAGCTGCTGTGGATTCGTGCTGTGCGCAAGAGAACAGGGCGGTTTCGGGTGTCATGAAACAGAAAACGTCCAGACATTAAGTACCATCTTAATATATAACATTTACACTGAATGACGTTTTTTGTTAATACAGATAATTCAGCTTGGCCCATAATGTGAGATTGGTGTATTTTCAAGAAAACAAAAAACAAAACGAGTTGCAAGGGAGATGAAAAGGTAAGCACTACCTTTTTGATGAGCTCAGTTAGGAAGCGCCTCCTGTACGTGGTGGAAGGAGGATATTTTAGACACAGAGGGTGGAGGACGGTCTGAAAGGAGAACAGCAGTGGGTACCAGTTACCAAGTGATGGTTTTATAAAGGCAGTAAGGGGCCAGAGAAAGGCGCAGGAGCTGTTACTGGCCCTTGGTGCCACGACATGCCCTGCGATTCAGGCTGTAGCTAAAAGTGATGCTGAGCCAGCAACTGCCACGGGGTGACTTCTGATCGCTCCGTCAGTTTACAGATCTGGGGCAGCAAACGCCTTTTTCACTTTTCAGAAAGAAAACAGCAAAACTGAGTGGCAAGAGAGTCCAACCTGCTCGGGTTTGCTCTCCTCTTCTCTCTGGCTCGGTTCGGTGCCTCATTTGCCATCTCCTGCCACAGGCTGGGTGCAGGCACGGTGAGGGCTGCTGTGTCCCCACTCGGGTCCCCTCCTCGGCCATCAGAGCACCGCGACACAGCACCAGCCTCGCTCGGGGCATTTACAGAGGCTGGTGCTCAGGCACATGGGTCTTACCTTCGATGCTAAGCCCAGCTAAACACCAGGAAGAGAAGGAACCTCGCTGTTGTGCTGGGCCCGGAGCAGAGCTGTGCCGCGGTCCCCGAGCCAAAACCACCCCCCAGCCCCCCGCCTGGTCACCGCACGCCGGTGGCAGCCGGGGCTCTGTACCTTGTGCAGGATCTCCAGCAGCAGGGCGGGGTCCGGCGCGGCCCGCAGGCTCTGTTCCAGCTCCTGCAGCACAGGAGATAAAGCTGCGGCGGCCCTGTCCCCGTCCCCGTCCCTGTC